AGATCCTGTTGATGAGGGCGCTCACCTTGGTTCGTCCCCCAGCAATTAATTTGGGGAATTTTTTTTTCCCGTTTGCGAGGTTCTTTGCTTTTTATTTTTATGAAAAGTATTAGAATTGTCTCGGTCCAGGTCTAGAGGTATCTTTGTGTGCGTCAACTGCATGTGAGCCTAATGCATCTTAGCCTTTAGATTATATGAAATGAAATCCACCATTATCAAAGACTTGGATGTATTGGGATCATGTGCATCCCGATCACCTAAGAATTTTTCTTATGTGTAATTATTTTACCCGGATTACATCTAAATAAAATCGTACGCTTTTTGTTGAGAGGTATCTTCAAACATGGACCGAAATAAATTTTATCCTAATTCACTCTCCAATCTTCGAAACCCAATTTAGAAGGACCACTTCTCGGAGAGAAAACCCACCACTCACTTGACAATCACCAGGAAAGGCTAAACCCACCATCTAAAGGTCTTGACTCTCTCTCTCTCTCTCTGAGTTGTTCAGATATGGATCATGTAAGCAGCTAGGTGATCTAGATACCTCCTCGACTGCACACACCATTAAAAAGTCAGGAAGCACGCCTAGTTTTTAAGAACATGGTACAGCTCTGCAAGCTCCAGCTGCTCTGAATCGAGACCTGCACGGACCGAAGGGGTCCAGACTTAACTAATTCACGGGGCTTTGCAGAGTGTTGCATGGACTTCCAAAAAGTAGGGTCTCCACAACAGAAATAGTATAGGCTATGAACTAATGAGCCGTAAGTACATATCATGGAAAATAAGCGCACATTGGGTATAAAATATGGTTGCACCGCATGGGTCGGCTCAGTTAGAGCCCTCACCAAGCTCAAGATTCAAGGAACACAAAGGGTCAAAGAGCTCTCTCGGAAAAGGGTACCGAGGAAGAGCCCACGTACGTTGGTGGTTTTCCAACTTTCCATTCCTCAAACTCCATGCATAGAGACCGAGAAAAACACACATGGAAAGTGAATGGCCATTCTAGAGGTAAGTGTTTGATGCAATGTATTATCATATACTCCGATGCCCACCACCGCCACAGCATCGGTAGTCGCTAATGGGGACAAGACATGGTGGTGAGCTTTCCTTTTTCTCATACTAGTTTGTTGATGTGGGGGGAGTCTTTGTGATGGCAACATAGCGCATGATGGAAGATAGATACTTTTCTTTTTGTGCTATAAAGTTTGTACCAGAGTGTCCTTTGCAAAAAAAAAACTAAAAAGGATCGACTGCCGTGTCGGGAAATCCGGGTCAACCCCTCCTTGCATTGGAATCTCTCATACGACGCGTATCGAAGGGAAAATTATCCAAAAAGTCTTAAATTTGTCAATTGTGTCAATTTAATTCCAAACATTTTGATGATTTGACAATTTAGTCCTTAAACTTTTGATGATTTGCCAATATAGTTCTTTCGGCCAAATATTCAAATAATAGGTTTAGAGCTATATTAATAAAAAGAAAGGTTTATGACTAAATTGACAAATCGTCAAAGGGTTTATAACTAAATTAGCACAATTGAAAGGTTTAGAACTGAATTGATTACCGTACAATATGTTTATGATTTTTTGGAGGATTATCCCCGTACCGAAAGGGGTTAACCTCCTGCTGTTTTAGAGATCCAAAATCAATTTTCTTGATATAATTTAATTAAGATACCGAAGGGTTTGTATATTTCATTCATAGCATTTTAACATATTAAATAATCAATTCTCTAAAAAATGACTGACCCTTTTCCTTTTATAGGATTAAGAGGACTGATTTTGAAATCCAAAGAATATTAGCAACTAAAAGCACGTAAAATGTTGGTTCGCTATCTCTTAACTCTTCCATTTCGTACGATTTAGTCCTCAAGAGTATGTTCGTGAAATCGAAATTTCTAATTTATTTGACATGTGCAATCAAGACATCTAACCAACTTGCTTGAGTTTGTGCAACCGAATCCTTCTTACCCATCATTAGACTTTTCAAGAATGGGTCATAAATCAATTTCTTAACTCGTATTTGATGGGCTGGGTTAGCTATATTCAGTAAATATATCATAAATGAGTTTATATGAGTGTTAAATGGGTCACAACTTACTTATACCCAACCCACCTCTAAGATTCTCTCTTCACTCTCTTTCGATTTCGCGCTCGCTCACTCCGTGCTTCCACCTTAGTTTGGTATAAATTTTCCTATATTTGGTCAAAAGCAATGTGGGTTAGATTAAGTATGGCTTGAGTATGAGTGGAGTTGGACATGAGTCATCAGGTCTGTATTGTATGAAAAAAATGTCAATTTGGATCGGATCATTTTCAATCCGATCAAACCCACCCATTTGACAGGTCTACTAGATGTTAACGACTACATCGATTTTGTCAACACGGCACGACCGATTTGCATACTCGAAGACCAATTCGTTTCGCAAAACGAAGCAAAGGGCTCTATCGCATTAGGAAAAGGAGCATGAGTACCCAATCCCCCTCACCATGTGTGCAGGAAGAGGCAGGAGAGGAAACGTGCGCTTCGACCTTAAAATTGGCCGTGGAAATTTTGGCCACGACAAGAAAATGGAGAACATACGTGGACCATGAACGGCGCGCAGTTTTTGAACGGGGACAAACCGGGCACACGAGCAGCCGAAGAGTCCAAAGGACAGAGAGAGCAGAGCAATCATCATGGGCTAGTAATAACGCCGCTTCCCACGCATCACCGTTTCGGCACAACCCTTCTCCCCCGGGCGCCTTTCCTGGCCCATGCCATTTTATTATCCAAACGTTACAAACAAATATAATAATTGGTGGAAGATCGAGGCAATGTGAAAACTTCTATTCTCTCTACCTTTTCAACAAGAGAAAAAGATGAGAAAAAGAAAACCCAATGGTATAATCTCGAGGGGATTTCCAAATTTCAATATATGTTCTCTCTTGGGAGCACGCATTATTTAAGGCCATTCTCGACATCCCATTTGAAATAATTTCTTTATACTTAAGAGGCATGTCGCACCGAACCGGTTAAATTCGGACCGGCGACGTATCGGGTCTCTGCAGGTGGCCCCGACCCGGAGCAATTCGCATGCAACCGACCGATGAGCTCCTCCGGATGTGTTTTGCTTCGGTTCCCGAGCAATTTGCGGCACGATCCTTTTTCGTGGCACATGGGTTCCCGGATAGTTAGGCTTGAGATGGCAAACATCTTGGAATGTTTTGAAATTTGAAGACCCGTTGAGGTGAATTTTTCTTTGGTTTTTTTTTTTTTGTGCATAGAAATGCGTATTGATATTGACTTTTGGTCCTCGAAGAAGGGCCCCATAGCTATTATTGCAAAGTCTTCAAAATATAGTGAGAAATCAAATGGTAATTGGGCGCTTTTTATGAATAATTTTTTTTATTTCTCTTTTAATGTATTTAATTTCACGATCAATCAAATCGATTATTCACGCATAAATTAACATGATAATACGCAAAGAGTACTTTTCGCTTTTGATCTAATGCTGAACAAAAATGCACTAAGCAATCTAGTTCATCGGAGGGTTTCTTATACGCATCGAGAGCTCTGTCTTATCGTCCACGCTAATCACTCGAAACACGCACGCATTGTTATTCCGAAGGAAAATAAAATGAAAAATTATAACACCCGACACGTGATAATTGACTCGAGGTAAACAGGTACATTGCGCTCGAGAGCATATAACAAATTTTATCCAAGGCTATGCGACGACATTAGTACGAGAAAGAAGGGTGCACGTTATTTTTCTCTCTAGAGATAAGTTCTAATTTAGCGATAATTTTGCCGACAAGCCCAAGTTTTTCTTTTTTAAATAAAGTAAAGTCTAGCACACGTGATGCAGGTCCGTGGACTTAGATTCGGGACAGACGACGATTGGCATCATACCACATAGTTTAATCATGCCCGATCTCATTTCGCTATCTCTAATAATTCAATAGACCCCAGGACAAGTTTTGGTAAGACACACATGTAATAAAAAAAAAAGAAAAAGAAAGGGAAGTGCATTACGAGATCCGACCCCAAAAATTAAAAGGACAGGAACCCACTCGAAATAACAAATCGTGGTTTTTTTTTTCCGATGAGGTCTTTGTATCGACGATTCGAGATTTTTATTTAATTCTTTCGATGATCCATTGATCCGATATTTATATCCACGATTCGAAGGTCGAAAGACTTGATTTTATGACGCACGACTCGTGATTCCGTTGCCAACTTTAGCGCCTCTTTCCTCTTCCGTCGCGCGAGGCGTATCGAGGGGAGGGGGGGGGGGGGACGACGATAACGGTGCTCGGAGTCCGATCTCGATATTATCAAATCGAATGGCGGATACCATTCAATCGTGGGAGATGCGCGAATCTTCCTGAATCGGGCATTTCGCACAGCATCTTCTCAGGCACACTTTGCATTAATGAGCAATCGACGCGAGTTTTACCCCTCGAGAGACAAAAAAAAAAAAGTGGGGCTATTTTTTTTATTTATTTAATCGAGAAATGATTTTACAAAAGATTTTTTAGTATTTGAATTTTACCACGTCCACACCATTTTGGGCATTTTAAAATCTCCCCTCACTAATGACAATTTACAACGATAAGTAGGAAGCTCCCCCCCCCCAACCCCCCACAAAAAAAAGGAAAAAGATCTCTAGCGAGCGGACGCCCGACCGAGGGCACCGAACGCGGGCCGTCGGATGGGGTTTGATCCAACGGACGGCCCCGATCGCGCCCCGGGACGCGCCCCCCGGGACGCTGGAAGAGGGAGCCTGACACGCCCCCTCCTTCGTTCCTCCCTCCATAAACCTCCGTCCTCCCACCTGCTCCTTCACCTCCACACTCTCTCTCTAACTCTCTCTCTCTTTCTCTCTCCTCTTCTTCTTCTCCTTCGTCTCCTTCGTCTTGTGCTGATCGCGAGCGAGCGACCAATGCCTGCGCGGCGCGGGCTCCGCTCTTGACCCGCGCAGCTCCGCCTTCGTTCGGCGGCGGCGGAGCCTCCGCCCGCTGATCCCGCGGCCGCCGCGACCGACGACCGGACGACCGAAGGCCTCGTGATCGCGTCCGTCCTCCGAATGCGGCGGCGTTCCTGAGCTCGGAACAGGAAGCGGAGAGGAGGCCGAGTCGCCCGCCGGAGGCTCGCGGTTCCGGCTCCGAGTGAGGTACTGCGCTCTCTCTGTCTCTGTCTCTGTCTCTCTCGTGGTCCGAGTTCGACGCGCCGAGCCTGCTTCGCGAAGCGCCTCCGGCCGGCCGTTTCGCTGTTTTTGGTTTAGGCTCCCCGTGCTTCAGTTGCCGCGAAACCGTGATTCTTAGCTCGTCGTCTGTCTAGGGAAGAGAAGCCGTGTTGTGCGAATGTGGAGAATGAAAGTGCATTGCGCCAAAACCGCCGATGTACGGTTTTTGCCGTACTGAAGGGCTGTTATCGGAGAGATGTTGAGCTCCAGATGGTGTCTATGTCCATCTGGAGTTCCAAATTCAAGGCTGTGTTTCATGTTTTGCTGGCTCCGATTGAAAAACGCTCGATTCTTTTCCTCTCTTTTTCCTAAACCTGCGCTTCCAGTGGTGGTGGCTGTGTTTCTTCCTCCTTACTGGTTCTTGCCTTCCCTGACCACTCGCGGTTGCAGATGAATGGCAGATATGTGATTCCCTTTCCATAAAGTTCTGTATGACAGAATCCAAAAAGTTCGCATGTCGCTTTTCTCTCGTGTGTCCAAAATTGTTTATTACACTTTTAACTCGGCTCTTTTGACTTGTCGTTGAACCGTTTCTCTTGCCTTTTGTTTCGGTGTTTTTGGTTTTTTGTTTGGCCCCCCTTTGTTTTGTTCACTTCTTGAAAATGAAACCCGGAAGGGAAGCGATGATGTCTCGCTTTCTCTGCGGAATGTTCATACGCTCTCGACTCAGGTGCTCGATGGATGACCCTGAACTCACGAGTCAAGAGAGTCGCTCGTTTCTCATGCCTACTCGCACTCGAACTTTTCATCGAGGGTCTCACCTAATTTACTGTCTAACTCCTCATGAAGTGCCTTTTTCATTGTGCATTTTTGAAATTACATATTAGTTAGATGGGGTTCGGGACTTTATCGTCCGCATTTAGCAGTCTCTTTTTGATTTACAAATGCGGGGTATGGATGTTTTAGGAGCAGCTGGTCCACTCCCTGAAAAAGTTCTCCACTTGCTTTGTGTTAGTGCCCTCGTATCTTGATCCGCGGCTAATAAAGCAATGCCAGGCCTTTTCTCCACTAAGATGCGCATATTACCTCAAATCACTTGATATATCTTCGTTATCACTGTTGCCCATCTACTATTTATGCCTTCCCTTCTATTCAAGTTAGTTTCCCTTCAATAATGCCGGTTTTTGACTAAACCGGTGTTGTAGGAGGTGGTCCTGTACGTATTGCATTGATGGTCTGCTCAATCAGAAGCTGAGTTCGCACGGTCGAAACCGGTTGTTGTTTTGACCAAAGAAAGCAACCTAAAGAGTACCGAGCTACTTGAAGGTAGAGCGCCAAGGGGAAGGAAGGAGAGAGTAAATATGATACTGATGAGGAGAAGACTGGCTTGCTGCACTCGAGACAGAGAAGTTAGCCTCGACTTCGATGAACAAGAGAGTAAGCTTCTAATTTTTATTTTAACAGTGCTACATCTAGAGATCTGTCGATTTTGTGGATCAATTTTAGTGCCGGTGCATTTGTGTTAATCCTTCCTGATTATCCGCCGCGATTGTCGCGTATCAGCTACTTGCCCCTTTGTTTTTATTGTGAACCTACCACACGTGGGTGTGCTTGCGTGAAGAAATTGGAAGATGTTCTGGATTATCAGTTAAAGAATTAAGTGGTGACCATTTTGTTAGGCAAAGATCTCCCCGGTTGACACTTCATCTATGGAGAATTTGCGGCCCATAACGCGGTAAGGATGAAGACAGAAACTGGGTGGGTCCATGAGAGCCTTCTCCTTGTTATTGCGTGTAGGGACCGAGCAGGAAACTAATAGCATAATAATTTTTCCCGTCCTCGTGAACAATCAGAGACCTAAAAAGCTTTTCTTTGCTTTTCAAGTCCGGTGACCTATTCGACCAAAAAAAAAAAAAAAGTCCGGTGACCCTTTGACCCTCGCCAAAAAAAAAAAAATGCCCGGTGCCCCTAATGAATACAAAGCTAGTCTCTTTCTTTTGGGGGTGACGAACAGAAAATAGAGAAGTTTCCTCTTCTTCTATTCGTCACCAATGTGGGAACCCCAGGAATCAAGCGCCAGAGTACGTAAGGTTAGGTTAGTTTTGCCGACTCATCGAGTTGATGCCCACCTGGACTTTGTTATAGAGTTGCCTCTGCGATGGTGGGAAGCTATCAATTCTTCCAATGTGCGAACTATGAAAGCCTAACTCTTGCCAAAAATAAATGATCTTGTAAGTAGTCAACATAGTTGGGCAAAAGTCTTAAAGAAGAATTTCTTCTCAGCCTCATTTTGAATTTAATAACGTGTGATACGTTTTCCGATGTGATGGTGTTATTTCCCTGTCTATCGTGGATTTTCAGACCGTCCTTTTTGACTTCTTGCATGAACGAGAACTGCTGGCAAATTTTTTTTTATTCCGAAACCTCGTTTTTTGAGTATGTGACTGTAAAGTTCCTGTTGCGTCCTCCCCCAACCGGCTGAATTTGAAGCGGCGATATTCTTTTTCCTTTTGTTTTGTCCCAACTCCCCTTCTAAAAACAAGTGGAGACCTTATATGAGTCTCGAGGGAATTTTTTTTTTCCTCTTTTTAGCTTCTTTCAAGTATTTCTCTCGTAGTAACTTTTCTTTCTCGGATGCGGGAGAAAAGTCGTGTTGCAGAATCTCTCCTCTCCATCGAGAATAGGAGATAATGAAGTAACGATTGTGACTTGAGAGAATGACCCTTGGCACAGAGCTCCCGGAAGTTGCATGATTATTTTGATTGAAAATTTGTGGTCCTTTCGGACAGTGAAATAACTATGGGTGGGGGACACAGGTTTCATTGTCTTTAATGGGCTTCTTGGTTCTGAAAAAGCAGACTACATTTCTCCATTTGTTGGATGGTATCGCTTGCTTGGTTCAGCCTTTCCTCCTTGCTCCTTTTCTTGTCGTATCCCACGGTCCCATTTTCCATAGCAAGATCTTGTTTGGAAGCAAGTACCAGTACCCTTTTTAAGTCTTTAAGGAGTTCGTCTTTGCTGAAGAAACTTCATGTGTGGTATATATTCAGTGGTCCTGAAGTCCGGGTTGGTGGGTTGTCTGGACTTTTAGGAAGTTTCCCTTACATGGCTCGAAAATTATCTATTGCTTGAGGAAACTTACGGATTTGATGTTTTTCCTGATCACGCAACATGTTTCATCTGCGGATAATAGCCCTCTGGAAGAACCTTGTAAATATACTAAATATGATGGGCATTGGGCACCAGTTATTGTCTGGTATTCTTATTTATCCTGGAATTTTCTGTGGAAGAAAGGTTATAAATCTCTATGATGGGCTCCCTGGGTAAATTTTCTATGGCTGCCATAAAGATAATATGACACCATTGATTTTTCAAATTTCAGGTCTTGGGTCAAATTCTTTTTTGTAATGGTACCCTTTGCGGTATCTTTTTCACGTACATCATCCGTTGGGAACTAGTGAACTCCATTGCTTCCTAGATAACCGTGCTCTAAAATCTTGTACATGTCAAAAGTGGAAGATAAACATGGGAACATGTGAAAATACTGTCTTAATTTTGGAGGTGCACATGCAGCTGATACACATCTAGGTCCTCACTGTTGCAAGTGTAAAGTAATTATGCCTTCTGGTGTTCATTTAAAATTTCAATCTTCTCCCATAAGAACTGCTTTGGCACTGGGTGATAGATTATTGGACTTGAACCTTAACGACTGAACTCTATAACAGAGGATGTAATTTTGTAGTGAAGAAAATCATCATTCTTGGCTCGGACGACTCATGTTGGTGGAGTTTACTAGTTGCCATCTATCACATAAAGAGATCCTCCAATAATTAGACAAAATGTGAAGTAGAATGGCTTTTTGAATAGATTTGAGCATTAACTTATCTGGTTGAATTGCTTCTTGAACAAACTTGAGCATTAAATTCTCTCATGTTTTCCGGTCCTTCTGACCACATCCGTCTTCTTTACGCCCAGATTATGAAGCACTTTCATTGCTTCCTCCATATTATGATGCTCTGAGACTTCTTGTGAAAACAACCAGAAAATAAACTTTACTTGGCTAATTTCAGAGATAATGACCTACAATGGCCTTGAGAGTTGCATACTCAACAATCACTCTTGTGAAATCGAGAGCCAAACAAGCAGGGGAGATGGATGTCCAACTGACTCTTTGGATGAAGATGATTCAAGTTTTTCTTCTAGTAAGGATGGTTTTGGATCGTTCTCCTCAAAATGGTTATCTATGAAAAGGGATGACCGAGAAGTGGAGGAATGGGCAGTCCCTGACTGTCCCCAGCACTTCTATGTGAAGGAAAAGCCAGCTTATTCTATCCAGTTTTCTGATGTGGAGACAATGAAGGAAAAGTTTGCCAAGCTATTACTGGGAGAAGATGTTTCTGGAGGGCGCAACGGCCATAGCACAGCTCTTGCCTTGTCCAATGCAATCACAAATCTGGCAGGTGTGAAAGATATCTGTCTCCCCTCCTTGTACTCATCTTGTTTCCCTTGCGCGGCTTTGCATAAGGTTTTACTTCTATAGAGCTACTCCTGGAAGAAAACCCAGTTTACCAAAAATAGAATTTTATTGAACGAAAAATGTTTTCCTGAAAAGAATTGCAAATTTGCAATTGGTCAAGGAAATTCAGGAAGTAAGAATCAAAAGAAAACTTTCCAATTGTATAGGAAATTGGATGAATGAATTACCTTAGGAATTGTTGCATCGTTGTAAGAAATATTTTTCAGCATCGTATATGTGACAGAAATTATATTTGCAGCATCGATTTTTGGGGAGCTGTGGAAGCTGGAACCACTGCCTGAAGAAAGGAAGAGCAAATGGCGGAGAGAAATGGATTGGTTGGTGTCCCCTACTAACTATATGGTTGAGTTGGTCCCAGCCAAGCAAAATGGTGCCAATGGCCACACTATGGAGGTACGTCTCCTCTTGGTTTAAGAGTGCAATACATGTCATGCATTATTCTGAGGTCAAGTTTCCTCATAATGGAGCAGATAATGACCCCCAAAGCCCGTGCAGACATCCATGTCAATCTTCCAGCACTTCAAAAGTTGGACTCTATGCTTATTGTAGGTGATTTCGTTGCTCACATCACAATCTGCAAAGCTTTTGTTCGTGATATCTCCTTCTGACTTATTAAATTTCATTTCTGCAGGAAACACTTGATTCCATGGTAAATACTGAGTTCTGGTATGCAGAAGGAGGTAGTCGAGCAGAAGGAAGGAATAAAAGTGAAAGGCAAAGCAAGAGATGGTGGCTTCCATCACCGCAGGTTCCAAGTACTGGTATTTCTGATAACGGAAGGAAGAAACTGATTTGTCAGGGGAGGTTGGTGCATCAAGTTCTCAAGGCTGCAAAATCCATCAACGAGAATGTTCTGCTTGAGATGCCAGTGCCGACCATCATCAGGGATGCACTTCCTAAGGTAAAACAAGTTATCTGTACATCAAATATTCTCAATTATGTATAACCTTGCAGATCTTTTCCAAGAACCCGGTGCATGCTATTGCATGTTCATTTATGTGTTTCTAGATAACGTCATATTGGTATCACAAACAAAGGGAACTATCTAATGGAATATTATCAGGATCCAGGATACAGTTTAAACTACAATATAGGGCCAAAAGAGTGACTTAAACTACAATATCTAGGGTGTGCGGAAGGGGCAATAGACACTTCATCTTTAGGCTTCATATGTGGGGATAATTGGCCATTTAAACAGACTCAATCTGTGTGTGTTTGTCCATAGTTACCTGCATCACAATCAAATTAAGTCCAGTTCAATTTTCTACTTTCCTTTGAATTTTCTAATGTTTATACTTCTAATCATCTAACAGTCTGGAAAGGCTAGCCTGGGGGATGCTCTAGACAAGGTGTTATCGGCAGAGACAACCTCAACTGGGGACATCTTTACATCCCTGAGTCTGAAATCAGAGCATGATGCTCTTGAGTGCATTAATAGATTGGAAGCTGCTGCACTCTCTTGGAAAGAGAAGATCGCAGAACAAGTGAATGGCAAATCACCAACCAGAACATCATGGTCATTCATCAAGGACCCAATATCCGAGCTGGATAAGACACAGTGGTTGTTGGATCGGGCAGAGTCTTTGATTCAGATTCTCAAGACTAAATATCCAAACCTTCCCAACACATTCCTTGACGTCACCAAAATTCAATATGGCAAGGTGAGTTCGAACTTTTGGCATTTGAACTTTCCTTATTTGACCCTTCGTGTGCCGTGTGCTCGTATACATACATGGACACACTTCTATTTTGTCAATCGGAGGTTCACCAAGCCGGATTAAAGTTTGTTGCTGGTGTGTGTTGCCTTTTGTAGCTATACTTGGGAAATAGGAATCATTGCCTTGCTCCTACCGTTATATATACATCTATTTTCGGCCACACTCCTACCAGTATAATAGAGAACTTGAATGATTGAACATTTCAAACCAACATAGTTTACTTCTAACATATGTCAAATGTGTACTTATCTACTAGTTGGACTCGATAATATGCATAGAGGGAATCGGTATTAGATGACCTTCTTAGGATGTTGCACCACAAAAGGAAAGAAGCTAATACCTGCTTTACTTTTCGACCATTTAGGATGTCGGGCATTCGATACTGGAAGCATATTCTCGCGCTCTGAGAAACGTTGCTTTCAGCATCCTATCCAGAATACAAGACATACTGCAAGAAGATTCCCTGAGCAACCCCAATTCGCCGGCCGTCTCTCCCTGCTTCTCGGCACTGAGCTTCGCCAGTGTTCCCGTCAGTCCGGTAATCAGCCATCGGGTGAGGCACTCGCTGATTGATCGGATGAATAGGGCCGACGCTCGACGCAGCGACTCGTCCGCGATCAGCACCTCCGACCTGGAGACTTCGTTCAGCGAACGCAAGACGAGCTCCGTCATGGCGACACCCTCTAGGAACCGCGTATGGTGCATCAGGAGGGAGGCTTGTAGCACCGTATCTCCGACAAGCTCCCCTTGATCGGTGACTCGCGGTTTTGTTTTGTAAATCATAGTAACGTGTAAGGTTAGTGAGAAATCGATAATTTTTGTTCTGCCCCCCTACCTATTGTCGAATTGGTCCGAATGGTGACATTCCAGATGGTCACGCTCATCAGTGATCATAGTGTCGTAATGTATCAGTTCGATTATACTTAAATGAGAAGTCTGATTTGGAGGTGCTTAGCATTTTCGTAATGCTATATATAACTTTCATAATTCTAGAAATATCTTCACCTCACGCTACGTTATCTCTGGTAAGCGACCGACGAGGCCAAATCTGGCAACTCAGTTGGGGTCATGCGACGACCCTCAGGAATCCTAGGCCGTGCCAAATCTGGAGCCTTTCGCCAATTTTGAGGTTTTTTTATATATAAAAAACAGCAAAAATTCTTAAAAGTTGTGATTTTCCAAACACTATTCAGATCAAAATTATTTCCTGATGCATTTTTAAATTACAATTTACTAAACATTACTTGTATTTTGAAAAATCCCTCTAACCTAAGTCTTTTACATTTTTCCCAAAAACTTTCCTCGCTGAACTAAAGTCACGAGAGCAACTGAACCGAATTACTGGTGACTTGTCACTGGACCGACTAGGGATGAACTATGACGCATTTTATAAAATATAGGAACTCTTGAATAAATTAAAAACCCGATGTCAAAAAAATAAATAAATTATAAATCTTAGAAGTGAATTAGCAAAATTGCGATAGTTTTATTGACATTTTGAACAATTTTCGCAAACATAATGTCCCATATCATTCACAGCTTCCTTCGAGCTACCCAGAAAAAAGAGCTGGCATGGGTTTGCCGAGATTTGGGCGTCCGGAGGGCGGCGGCGGCGGCGGCGGCGGCAGCGAACCGAGCCCTAATCTCTACGTCGCCAATTGCGGACCGGCCGTCGGGATCTCGCACGACAAGATCAGGTCGGTCTTCGGCGGGTTCGGACCGGTGAAAGGAGTGTACGCGGCCGACGAGAGCGGAGCCCGCGTCGTCGTCTGCTTCGACGGCGAGGTCTCCGCTCGAGCTGCTTTGGAAGCCCTGAACGGCCGTCCCTGTCCGGACCTCGGAGGTCGCTCCCTGCACGTTCGTTATTCCGTCGAGCGGCCGGTTTGCCAGGTTCGTCTCTCGCGATCCCCATCGATCCCGGGCGTAGTGTGCAAGCCCGGCTCTCGTGATGCCTTCCGACTGATTTCCGCTATGCATTGGTCAAAGAGATTTGTTAGCTTGTCGTGTTCGGCTGTTTCGGTCGACTCACGTGCAATTCGGTGGTATAGCTTGTCGTGTCGGAATGTTTCGGTCGGCTTGCGTGCAATTCTACTGCATTGGTTGGGCATGTCTTGAATTGCTTAAGCATTCCTAGAGGCAATTGATTGGCTTTGCGGTATGATGCTTGAGAACTTATCTTGGTGTGAGGGATTTCGTGCTTCGCACTATGCTTAATGTAGTTCGAGATTCGGTTTGAGCATTGGTGAATTTATTATGGTTATTGAACCTGAATCGAGTAGTGTGGAACGTTTTTGTTTTTCCGCGCGATTTACTTTTTGCGAGGTAATTTGTCTTCTGTGCGATTGACGCGCGTGGCCTGCAATTTAGGCCAACTTGAATGATTCCCCCCTGGTGCATACATATGCTTCGGAGCTGAAAATTCCTGGCCTTTACTTGTTGCATGACTTTATCAGTCCTGGAGAAGAGAAGGTTAGTTGAGTTCTCTTATATGGGAATATCAAATCGTGCTCTTTCCCGTTCCTCAATTTTCGGGCTTTTGGCATCATACCGGCTTATTTATTACGTACATGATTCAACTTAACCGAATTACTGGTGATTTTTCTAGGAATTACTTGCGGCAGTTGATGACAGGCCTTGGAACAGTCTTGCAAAAAGAAGAGTTCAGCATTATGGCTATGAATTTCGATATGACGTAAGTATGCTTTGCGGTACGAGTGTCGTTTAGTTCGCAGTGAAGTATGTGGTCTAGTGTGCCCGTACATTTCTCTTAATTTGTAAGACGACTATGTTGCTCATTTCCTGAACTCCCAAGTCTCTTGTAGTTAAACATACTGCATTACTTGTTGAATGCAAACATAGGGCATCCAGCTTATCCAAATAGAAAAAGTTATTTTGTAGTCAGGTAGCAGGATTCTGTATTGAAGATGTTCCTATTCAGAATTGCAAGCAATTTGCATCTTGGAAATTGGAATTGTATCCATATCAATGGCTATTTGATCTCAGGATTTCTTCCCTGCAATGGGTACGCTTTGTCCAATTGACTGTTGCAAGGGATTGACTGCCATAATCAGGGATTCGTGCTAAGGGTGGGGTGGGGATGATTTGTAGTGACTTTCTGCTATTCTGTGGTTTCGTGATTAGTATTTTAGTTTTTCTTGAGCTTTCTTAGTGAGGTCACTATGGTAAATGTATGATGTGGATTATGACAATGAAGCCTCTATGTGACCCTAAAATGATGAAAACTGAAAAGCAACAGCTGTATGTGCTGGATAAATGTGAAAGGGACTATATTTTCTATTGCTATGTGCATAGACATGGTGTCTAGTCCTCGTCCATGATGGATGATTGCATTGGTTAGCTTTTTTTTTTTTCCAGATAATGATGGTAATCAGTTATATGGCTTGTTCTTGATTTTCTTCTCTAATTTGTGCAGACGAGAAATGTCGATGCAAATAGGCATATGGGTGAACTTCCCCCATTTGTTTCTTTTATACTTGAAAGGATATCATACTTTCCAGGTCTTCTATGCGCTTCAAATGCAAGTTTGGATCAACTAACGGTAATGATTTTCTATATTTTGTAGTATGCCATCGTTATCTGTTATCGGCTGGCAAAGATTATCCTTCCATTTTTTCATTGTTAGTGAGATAAAATTTTAACTTTCAGCTGCATTCAAGTGGAATCACCTCTATGCTTTCTTGTTTCTACTTTTCTTCGTTTTTCGCCCATTGAAGGTTGTTTACCAGAATACATGAAACTGGAGGTTGGTTGTCGTGACACAGGTCAATGAGTACCCAGTTGGAGTGGGATTGTCCCCACACATAGACACCCATTCAGCATTTGAGGATCTTATTTTCAGCCTTTCATTAGCAGGTCCTTGCATTATGGAGTTCAGGAGATTCTTAGAGGGTGCCTGGCTTCACAAAGACGTCTCTGGCACAGATGGGAATGTGGATGGTCTGGAGAACTCAAAATTCTTGAGAAAAGCCATTTATCTTCCCCCTCGGTCAATGCTATTATTGTCTGCAGAGGCACGTTATGCTTGGCATCATTATATTCCGCACCATAAGGTACATACATGATTTGTTGTTTACCCTTTTATTGAGGTTACACTTGAAAGTTAGATTTCCAAGGTTCAAGTTGTGTTATTCTAAGAATACAACCATAACATGTAGAAGTTGATCAGCTCACATAAATACAGAGCTGACCAGCTGAAAACTCAGCTGGTAATTCGTAGTTTCTTGCTATAGCACTGTAGCTTCTCTTCTATAGGAGTAGTTGTCTACTTACCGAACAAAAACCAATAAATTTCGATATTCAGCAACCCAGCTTGTTGCCTTATAGGATCCAAACTAGCTTAAATATATTCCGTGCCTATGTGTAGTCACCATTGGGCCACCGACATTTTCTTTATTATATGTCTTCCAGTTTGTGGGTCCAGAAAACTGCTGAATGAATGTTGCAAACTTGCAAATGTTCTTTCTTTGGGACATAGATCTTTCACTATTATACATTTGAGGATTTCCATGGTATTAGAAGAGAGTGGCGTTTAGAAACCACAATGGAGTTTAGAGTATCTGCAATTTCTATATATGGCATGGCATTTCTAGACAATGTAAATATAGTAGCTGTATGTCTCAGTAATGCATGAGAACATGCTTGTACTAATGGATATTGATGATGTGGTTTTGCAGATTGACATAGTAATGGACAAGGTTATCAAAAGAAGTTCAAGAAGGGTGTCTTTCACATTTCGTAAGGTGTGTGATCTTGCTCTTGATTGGGCTCTGCTGACCTTTGGAAGTCACTCTTAGTAAATTCCTTTCGCTCCTTATGCACTTGAATTGTAGATCAGTGTGCTTGCTGTGACCCCTTGCATGACCCCAGGAACAACTTCCCTGCCAGGCAGTTTCTGTTTGTTACTACTATGTTCTTGAACTAACACTACCTTTTGGCATTCAACCTATAGTAACACATTGTCATTCAATAGCCTAACTCATTAAATTGTAATGTTATCAATGTTTGATTCATTGACAAGCAGTATTGACATCTTGCAGGTTAGAACAGGTCCCTGTAGATGCAAATTTCCCTTATATTGTGATTCTCAAAGTAAACATGATTAATGGAAATATTGTGATCTAACTTATGATTGATGGAGAATGGGATGCTCTGATGTGTCATTGAGCCTAAGTACAACAAGTCCTGTGGGAGATATTTAATGGGGAAAAAGCGTGTCGCCAGTTCGAAGAAAGTCTGGACTTACCATTTTCAGACTGCTGTAATTTTAGAGCAGGTTATTCATTCCGGAGTAGATGCTGAAAATTAAGAAAGAAACCAACCAACTCAGAAGTCGCATTTTTGGGCTTTTCATCCCTGTAGATGCTGGACTCGGGTTGCTGGGACTCGGTTCATCTGATTGAGGAGCAATGTCCTGGAGAGAGAGACAGAGAATTAGCTGAGAAAACAAACACAGAATTCATTCTGAATGTCCCAATACCGTGTTAAAGCTGAAATTTGGTCAATGTGGGAAGTAGAAAGGTTATATTCATTTGTCTATTTTTGACATGCAGCCCTAGTGTTTGATTTTTGTCGACTATGGTTAATGTCATGTTAGTCTTGGACCTTCAAATGATAATTATGTAGGTTACACGTCAAGTATTCTGGTGATGAGATAAAAGTTTCGTTCATTGATCAGCAGATCTTGAAAAGTAAATTAGTTTTCCTTTGATTGTCTGGCCAAATCGCTTCCATATTGAGAGGTCAAAAGATGACACTCTTGGATCTCCAAACTTGACCCCAAAGAGATCACGCAACATGTGAAGAATCTACTTACCAATGCGAAGATTATGTTGGATATTGACATGCCGATATCTTTTTACTTATTGAACAAATTCCACCTATCCAAAACTCACTTTCACCTCACAATTCTCTATTCTTTGTACCGTCCAAATTCAATCTCTCTTTGCATGTTGTGTAACCAAACCTCCAAACTCTGCCATACCGTTCAAAGTCTGCCTTAATTCATTACCATCAATACTTTGCATACACATTAAAGAATTACACAGAGTGACCAGCACGCTGTTTTGGTGCTGTGACGACCTGTGCTAATGCAATACTGAAACAGAATCGTGTAGCCTACGGTACCCTTCACAGTTCAAGCTCATTTTGCCAAATAACAATTGAAACTTCAAGAATAGATAGAAGACTTTAACCAAGGAAAGCTATACGTCAGTGTGTCCATTGGGATCAAAAATACGGTTGTGGCAAGTGGGGTTGCAGGGATAAGCGCAATCGATCTTTTGGAACGGACTCCGGTCGTAATACCAGTCTCCAACTGCCTTTGCGATCGACTGTAAAGAAAAGATGATAGAGAAGTGAGCAAGCATCAATACATGTTATCGTCCAGCGACGATATCATGAAAAATAGTTGAAGAAGCGGTCATTACTGTCTTTGCCAGTACAGGAGAGTCGTCCCTCAGCCACGTCTCTTGCATCTCAGATTGGCAATGAGCATAGCAAGCATCAATGAACATTCCTCTTGATGGAGAGGTTCCGAATCCACTCAGTGCATTTATGAACTGCAGCCTGAAATCTGAATACGAAAATACCAACCGAGTAAATTTTCCAGCTTGAAGCTTCCACAGGATTGTTTTGTCAAGGCTAAAGCTCAACAAATTTTTTCACCCTGCATGACTTTGAGTTGATCTGGTGAGCAGTTATTAATATCAAGCTTGCAGCTGTGCCAGGTTCCATGAGGATCGGCCACTCCGGGCGCCAAAATATTCTTAATCTGAAAGCAGCAATGATGCATGAGAGATCAGAGCGTTAATGCAACGCTCGTGATATTGGGAGTCAGAGGAGCTGAAACAGAGTTAAGTCAGAAGCCAAAACTAAAGAGCGAAAATGGGAGTTCCAGTGGAACCTAAATTACGAGTCATCATATTCTTTTCTGACTGATCTGAAGCTTATTTGTCCATCTTCAAAAAGTTAGGAACTATCTCCAAATTTCTTTGAAAGTGCTGAACAACTCAAATTGTTTATCGGAGTGACATTATTTTCAGTCTTGAGTTTATCAAGTGCTGACCTGCCACGAATCATAGGCGGCATTTATAAGGAATAACGGGGTCTGAATTTGCTGAACCACATTTTGAGGGAAGAAGCACTGCAATAATGTTTAGCAATATTGGTTGTCATTAGGACACGATTAGAAGCAAAAGATGCAGAAATTAACGCCTGAATTGATGTCACCTACCAATCCTGGTCTCATTTTGGATGTGCAGGAAGTTGGTAGATTCTTGGCTGATCCCTGAACCATTCATTTGAGTTCTGAGTGACAGAGATTAACAAAGACATGCGTTCTAATATTAACATTCATACACACATAAATATATGGTGAGAGAGCAACCGAGCGGAAATGTGCATGCGAGAGAGAGAGAGTACATGTGTTGCAACCACTTCACTGTAGAAAGTTTCGATATGTTGAGCTCCAGAAACATCCTTCCTGAAGTAGAACCAGAAAAGAAATGCCATGTCATCCAAAGTTCAGCTACATGTGTCTTTCACATAATTTACTTCGCAAATTGCAACCGGCATTTTGTCCTAGGCCTGAATCCAAAGGAGGCAATAACGAGCTTACGCATTGATAAAATAGCCTGCATCTGCAAGACATTTCACTTTGGCACTTGCAGGCACGAGAGCTCGAAATCTATCACAATGCAGTATCGAAGTCAATCCACCAGCTGAGCATCCAGAAAGAACAGCCTACTTGACAAATTTAAGTTCACTTCCGGCTATTAAGGCAAATAAAGGAAAAAGGAAAAAGATTCAAAGGACTGGAAATGTCATCAAGTTGGTTCATACATTTTGCGCAGTACTCAACCCATTCGACAGTAAATCCTCAATAATTGCTACAAAAGCCCTCGCTCCTCTGAAGTGAAGGTTAGTGGCCTGGTCCAAATTTGAAATGATCAAGGAAATTAGTACAAAATATTGCAACAAATTCAGTTCCGCACTTGCAATTAAAGATTGTTGTTTTGAAGCTTAAACAAACTTACTGGGTCGACTGCTTCCACATCCCCGGTAAATGAAGCTCCATCACAATATCTGACCTTGATTCTGTTCCAGTTGTAGAAGTCTAAAACAACCCAAAAAAGAAGAGAGGAACTTGAGATTTGATATTTTTCTAACAAAAGACCAAATTTAAATAATCACAGCGTCGCACCTGGATTGAAATTTTGTTTATTGCTGAGTATACCGGAGAAAGCAACTTCGTTGGCCATGTGTTTCGATGAACCTAACCGCGTATGCCTTCGAACAAGGCAAGTGGTGACGTTGTTGCACCATCCTCCTCCCTGAGAACACAAGATAGAGCTGTACAATCACCGTGTCGGGCCAAATTATAACTCATGATGTTCTAGAGAATAAACTTTCATCTGTGCTTACAGCACAAAAATCAAATTAGATGGATAATATGAAAAAGTGCTGGTGTCTAAATGTGAACCTCAGAAAACTTCTATTTACTCAGCAGAATTAGTCGGTTGCAACTTATAACAACTACCATTCCTTTCTTTAACTTATAGGTAATCAACTACAATCTCAAATTCCTCAATCTACAATAAACTACAGAAGTACAAACCTCAAAGTGAATAAACCAATTGTTAGCGCCGGCACCAAATCCCTTATCGAAGTGGTAAGCTGGAGGGCTACCATCCAAACACACTGCAGAGCACGTCGAACTTCAACCAAGTCAACACCGATAAAGTTCGAATGAAAGGGGAAATTTTCAGGACATTTCGCAGTAAGCAATTAAACTCATCTTGTACTCACCAGCTCCTTTGGCTACAGCGTTATGGACATATGTAATCCCAACGTTAACGGCTTCAGTCTTGAGCAAGATCTGTATGCTCAGTATAACACACAACCACGTCCTCAATCTTGCATCAGCCATATTGCTGTGCGATCAATAAACCAGTCGTTTACATATTAGCCCCGCCGGGAAAGCAATTTCAACCAAAATTGATATGCAGGTAAGCAGAGCAACAAGGCAAGGGAAGAATCAGAATATGGAAATAGATGAGTGACACGTTAATTAGTACCCTTTTCAAACAGAATATAGAAACGCGCATAAAGTATAAACAAAGCAAACCCACTAGCAAAAGTGAAAATAGCAGATGCGAAAGTGCGACAATATTGAAAAGTTGACTTTTTGCTAATCATAGGATAAGCGAGTCCCATTGCACATCAAGATACCTTTCCCCAACATGGACAGCCACAAACCTTTCTTGTTCTATTTACTCTTATTTATTAAGGAAATACTTAGTAATAGCTACAGATCAGAACCAAACGCATCTGAATCACAAAAATTCCATTCTGATACAACATAAACAAAATCCAAGAACCACTATGGAAAAAACAAAAAAAAAAAAACCGAGGAGGATCGCTAAGGATTGAGTGAAAGAGATCTAAGTAAAGAAGACTTAAAACTGAACTCGCACATCCATTTCATGATTACATTCTAAGGATTGGGTGATGGCCAGAACAGCTAACATAAACCACCCAGAAAAGGAAAGAACACGATGAAGTACCCGATTGATAAGGAAGTCGAAGGATGTAGCTGACACCCAACTACAGAAATGAGCTCAAATCTCCCAACAAGTCCTCTTCTTCTTTACTAAATGTATTTATCACTACCAATTGGCGAAACGGTGGAGGGAGACAAGACAACTAGAGTTGGAGCTCAAGAACCACAGTGCCTTCCCTTTTCATGGCACTGGGTTTTATATGTTAGGCGAAACAGGTCAGCTCACTTTCCACTTCTTAAGAAGCAGTACAGTGTGCGAAAGCAAAGCAAAGCCAAGCCGAGACTTCAAGAACCGACGACACTCATTCGCACCCGGGAACAAAAAGCGAAAGTAACTTTTTAAAAGGGTAAAAGGAAGCAACTTTGATTCTTGAAAAGTCCTCTGTTTTTTTTTCCACGCCTCTCCTTGTCTGGTACGCCGTGACGCGCGGGGTCTCGGGTGATATCCGACCCGAAACGTTGGGTTGGCAAGCGGCAGGCTGCGGATCGTATCGGCTTACGGGCTCCGACATTAATGCGTGTCTCAGAACAGAGAGTCTGACACACTGACATCGCGAGAGAGAGAGAGATAGGAATGCAGACCAACGGTCATTGGACAATGAGTTCATTTTTTCCATCACGACCATATATCACGGACATAATAACACGAACAGTCTTTGAATTCTGGCCGAACGTGTAATGTGATTCTTAAACTTTTAATTTATTCAATATAGTCTTTGAAATTTAGCTTAATATTTAATGTGACCTTTGAACTTTTAATTAGTTCAATGTGGTCTCTGAACTTTTGGTATATGTTGGTAATGTTCAATGTAGTCCTTCTATAAATTCAAATCCATGGACTACATTGAGCATTTTCGTATAGTTCATGGACTACATTAAACAAGTACCAAAATTTCATGGATTACATTAAACAAATTGAAAATTCAGGGACCACAATGCATATTGGATTAAATTTCAGGATCATATTGAACAAATTAAAAGTTCAAAGATCACATTGCACATTGAGCCAAAGTTCATGAACTATTTGTGTCAATTTCCCTATATTATATTAGTAATATATATTATTATCATATATGTTTTTCCATGTCCGATGTCTCATAAGTTCGTAGTGTGGATTTAAGGCCGATTGTTGCAAGCCCCTTCTTTTTTTTATGTAGAGCTATTTTTTCGGAAAATAAGATAATTATTCTAATTTTAATATTGAAGAATTTAATATAATTTTCGATGAGATGAAATCATTTTTTCTACTCAGATCTACACTAATCAAGTGGTGGAAGGAGGACCCGTATGATCAATTTGGTCATGCAGGATCAAGCTGCCGCCCATTAGTCCTCATCAAATGGATGCTGAGTTCAAGAGTCGAGACACATTTATCCTAAAACTTCTTTTTATAATTGGTGTGTATTACGTCACTTTATATAGCAGTCACAACAAGTCATACGCGATTTGGACGGGTTGTGATCGAGGGATCGCCTTGCTTTTCGAATGTATTTCATGTGTACCCCCGTGTTTGGGTCGCTCGCGCAGCGCCGCCGCTCGCTTCGATGGGACCCTCTTGCATCATGTGACAAGGGTTGTTACCCCCGGCGCATCGATCTATTGTATTGTCGCATGGATAGAAAAACACGAATGCAAAAACCGCGTGCTCTGGGTCATCACTTCAATTATTTCTGCGCCAACCCCTACTTCTTCAAGATCCACAGCCACGAGCTCTACTAGGATTTAGGACTTGATGGCTCAATTTGTGGCCTCTTGTTTCCGATTAAATACCCACGTGGGTGGCATTGAGTTATGGCTCAATTTGGGGCCTCTTGGTAGAGTAGGACAGACCAAAAAAAAAAAAAAACAAATGAAGAGTTATGATTTTGAGAGCTTATCCTTTTTGTAACCGTTAAACAACTCAGGTGGGTCATTGAGTTCATTCCAAAGAATGTGACCACTTCACAGATGGAACGAAGATGCTAGGGATAGAGTTCGCGTTAGTCTCAATCGATCAATTCAATTTATGGATCGGCCCGGAGAATAATTGAAGCGATAATGACGCATGAACAACGAGACAGGATAGATCAAACACGTTGGGCACTAACTCTTCCGCGAGCAAGCGGATGCGTTCGATCGATCATAATATTCCAGGCAAAAGGGCAATGCGATGTCAACATTAGGATCGTTTTCGGACACTTAATGATCCGAAAATCAAGGCGGTAGCGACCTTTAGAGTCCACGAAAATAACGACAACTAAGGTCGAATCATCATTTGATGAAAGTCCTAGCGAATGGTCCCCATTGGCCTAATGAGATAATGGACTTATTATTGTTGGGACTTCACCTTTTTGTGCTGTGGATCATTTCGTTTTATTCGGTCAACTCAATACGGTTTCTTCAATCGGGTTTAGGTAAGCGGGGACGGATACCCGAGTGTTCAATTGGATCGGGTCGACCCGACTAGTTTCTTGTGGCTCTTGAAAATGCTTGAAAGATTGCCCATGGCATCTGTTAATTTAAGAGGCTGTCTGAGAAATTGGCTTGGAAATCCTGGAAAACCAAGGAATAGAAGCTGCAATCACTGATGTCCTGTTTCACAGCTTGGGTTGCCAAATTAGTGTCTTTCATCACTAAACTGCGATTCTCTAAGTCCGTCAAATTATTCAAAGAGATAATTGCGCATTCCCAATGGTATTTCTTTGTGGAAAGTGATCAAGATGGAAGTGTCATGGGCCGAAAGTTTTTTGGCCAACGACAAATCCGTATTGCACCGGACTAGCGTTCGCTCGATAGATTGTTTTGAATGACAATATAGCGAATCGCATTCTCATAATAGACTGTATCAAGCGCAATTTAGCTTGGACGTTCAGTCTTTCAAGAGAGACATACGGTTCACTCCAGCAAAACAATCGGCTTCGGCCTGCCGTGACCATCATTAGGTTGAGTGGCCTTGGCTCCCGATCAGTTTGCGCATGGGAGGCCAACCTCGCCTTTGAAAAGCTACTTACCAACGTGGGGATTATGTTGGACATTGACATGCTGATATCTTTCGACTTTACTAACTTGTTGAACAAATTCCACCTATCCAAAACTCGCTTTCACCTCGCATTGTGTAACCAACGCTTCAAACTCTGCCGTACCCTTCAAGGTCTGGCTTTATTCATTACTATCAATGCTTTGCATACATTAAAGTATTACACAGAGTGACCAGCACGCAGATTTGGTGCTGTGACGACCTGTGCTAATGCACCTTTACCGTTCAAGCTCATTTTAACAATGACGATTAGAACTTCAAGAATAGATAGAAGACTTTGGACAGAGGAAAACTATACTTCAGTGTGTTCATTGGGATCGAAAATACGGTTGTGGCAAGTGGGGTTGCAGGGATAAGCGCAATCGATCTTTTGGAACGGACTCCGGTCGTAATACCAGTCTCCAACTGCCTTTGCGATCGACTGCAAAGAAAGAATGAAAGAGAAATGGACAAACATCAATACATGTTATGGTCCAGCGACAATATCATGAAAAGTGGTCGAAGCGGTCATTACTGTCTTCGCCACTACTGGAGAGTCGTTTCTCAGCCACGTCTCTTGCGTCCCAGATTGGCAATGAGCATAGCAAGAATCGATGAACATTCCTCTTGATGGAGAGGTTCCAACTGCACTCAGTGCGTTTAAGAACTGCAGCCTGAAATCTGAATACAATAATTCCAACCGAGTAAATTTTCCAGCTTGAAGCTTCCGCAGGATTGTTTCGTCACGGCTAAAGCTCAACAAATTTTTTCACCTTGCATGATTTTGAGTTGATTCGGTGAGCACTTCTTAATATCAAGCTTGCAGCTTCGCCAGGTTCCATGAGGATCGGCTACTCCGGGCGCCAAAATATTCTTAATCTGAAAGCAGCAATGATGCATGAGAGATCAGTGCCTTAATGCAACAAAATAACGAGTAATCATCTTCTTCTCTGACTTATCTGAAGCTTGATTGTCCATCTTAAAAAAGTTTAAGAAACTATCTCGAAATAGCTTCAAAAGTGATGAACAACTCAAACTGTTTATCGGCGAGGCATTATTTTCAATCTTAAGTTTATCAAGTACCGACCTGCCACGAATCATAGGCGGCATTTATAAGGAATAACGGGGTCTGAATTTGCTGAACCACGTTTTGAGGGAAGAAGCACTGCAATAATGTTTCGCAATGTTGGTTGTAATTAGGACACAACTAGAAGCAAAAGATGCAGAAATTAACGACAGAATTAATGTCACCTACCAATCCTGGTCTCATTTTGGATGTGCATGAAGTTGGTAGATTCTTGGCTGATCCCTGAACCATTCATTTGAGTGTGGAGTGACAAAGATTAACAAAGACATGCATATTTCTGAGACTAACATACATGCACATATAAATATATGGGGAGAGAGAGAGAGAGAGAGTACATGTGTTGCAACAACTTCACTGTAGAAAGTTTCAATGTGTGGAGCTCCAGAAACATCCTTCCTGAATTAGAACCAGAAAAGAGAGAAATGTCATCCAAGTTCCTGTAATACATGCAACCCGCATTCTGTCCTAGGCCTGAATCCAAACGGAGGAACTAGCAAGCTTACGCATTGATAAAATAGCCAGCATCTGAAAGACATTTGACTTTGGCACTTGCAGGCACGAGAGATCGGAATCTATCACAATTCAGTATTGCAGTCAATCCACCAGCTGAGCATCCAGAAAGAACAGCCTACATGACAAATTCAAATTCACTTCCGGTTATTAAGGCAAATAAAGGAAAAAGGAAAAGGATATAAAGGATTGGAGAGCTCATCGAGGCAGTTCATACATTTTGCGCATTACTCATCCCTTTCGACAGTAAATCCTCAATAATTGCTACAAAAGCCCTCGCTCCTCTAAAGTGAAGGTTAGTGGCCTGGTCCAAATTTGAAATGATCAAGGAATATAGTACAAAATGTTGGAACAAATTCAGCTGTGCACTTGCAACAAAAAAATATCGGGTTCGAGGCTTAAACAAACTTACGGGGTTGACTGCTTCCACATCCCCAGTAAACGAAGCTCCATCACAGTATCTGACCTTGATTTTGTTCCAGTTGTAGAAGTCTAAACCACCACAAAAAAGAAGAAAGGAAGTTGAGATCTGACATTTTCTAAGAAACGACCAAATTTAGATAACCATAGAGCCGCACCTGGATTAAATTTTTGTTTATTGCTGAGTATACCGGAGAAAGAAACTTCCTTGACCATCTGTTTCGATGAACCTAACCGTGTATCCCTTCGATCGAGGCAAGTGGTGACGTTGTTGCACCATCCTCCTCCCTGAGAACACAAAATAGAGCTGTTCAGTCACCATGTCGGGCCAAATTATAACTCATGATGTTCTAGAGCATAGATGGATAATATGAAAAAGTGCTAGTGTATAAATGTGAACCTCAGAAAACTTCTATTTACTCGGCAGTAGTCGGTTGTAACTTATGACTACTATTCCTTTCTTTAACTTATAGGGAATTAAACACAATCTCAAATTCCTCAATCTATGATGAACTACAGAAGTACAAACCTCAAAGAGAATCAACCAATTGTTAGCACCTGCGCCAAATCCCTTATCGAAGTGGTAAGCCGGAGGGCTACCATCCAAACAAACTGCAGAGCACGTTGAACTTCAACCAAGTCAACACTGATAAAACTCGAATGAAAGGGGAAATTGCAGGACATTTCGCAGTAAGCAATTAAACTCATCTCGGACTCACCAGCTCCTTTCGCTACAGCATTTTGGACATAGGTAATCCCAACGTTAAAGGCTTCAGACTTGAGCAAGATCTGTATGCTCAGTATAACACACAACCATGTCCTCAACCTTGCATCAGCCATTTTTCTGTGCGATCAATAAATCAGTCGTTTACTTATCAGCCCTGGTGGGAAAGCAATTTCGACCAAAATAGATATGCAGGTAAGCAGAGCAAGAAGGCAAGGGAAGAATCAGAATATGGAAATCGACAAGTGACACGTAAATTAGTACCCTTTTCAAACAGGACATAGAAAAGCGTATAAATGAAGCAAAACCACTAGTAAAAGTGACAATAGCGGATGTGAAAGTGTGACGTGATTAAAAAGAGACTTTCTGCTAAATATAGAATGAGCGAGTTCATTGCACGTCAGGATGGATACCTTCTCCCAACATAGACAACCACAAACCTTTCTTGTTCTATTTACTCTTATTTATTAAGGAAATAATTAGTAATAGCTACAGATCAGAACCAAACGCGTCTGAAGCACAAAAATTCCATTCTGATACAACATAAACAAAATCCAAGAACGAATCTATATAGATAAAAAAATATAAACAAGGAGGATCACTAAGGATTGAGTGAAAGAGATCTAAGTAAAGAAGACTAAAAAACTGAACTTGTACGTACATTTCAAGAACGAATGTATAAGGAAAAAAAACAAAGAGGATTGAGTGAAAGAAATTTAAATAAAGAAGACTTAAAACTGAACTTCTACATTCATTTCATGATTACATTCGAAGGATTGGGTGATGGCCAGAAAAGCTCAAATGAATCACCCAGAAAAGAAAAAGAACACGATGAAGTTACCTGAGTGATGAGGAAGTTGAAGAATGTAGCTGACACCCAGTTACAGAAATGAGCTCAAATCTTCCAACGAGCTCTCTTCTTCTTTACTAAATGTATCTATCACTACAACTTGACAAAACGGTGGAGGGAGACAAGACTGTTGAGGTTGGAGCTCAAGAACCAAAGTGCCTTCTTTTTCCTGGCACCGGGTTTTATACGGTGGCGGAACAGCTCAGCTCACTTTCCACTCCTTAAGTGCTAAGTAAATCAGAGCCGAGACTCCAAGCACCGACACTCGTTCGGTCCCGGGAACAAAAGCGAAAGTATTTTTTAAAGGGTTAATATTACGAAAAATTCCAAACTGGTATACCTGTGATAATTTTATCTCGAACTATTTTTTTTACTACAAAAAACTCAAAACTGGTATACTTGTGACAATTTTACCCCGAACTATTTTTATGACCACCAAAAACCTTATACTGGTACACTTGTGATAATTTTACTCATGATCTAATTTTTTGACCATCAAAAACTCAAAACCGGTACACCTGTGATAAATTTACCCTCCGTTAGTTTCCGTTAAATTTTACTGTCAAATTGCTAAGTTTAATGATAAATGGTAATTGACAGGTGTACTGGTTTTGGATTTTACCCTTTTGTTTGTCACAAGTTTACCAATTTGTGATTTTTTGTGACATTAATCCAATTTAACGGACACTAAGGGAGGGTAAAATTGTCACAAATGTACAAGTTTTGGGTTTTTACTGGTCAAAAACTTAGTTCAGGATAAAATTATCACAGGTGTACCATTTTTGGGTTTTTAATGATCAAAAAATTAGTTCGGGGTAAAATTGTCACAGGTGTACCAGTTTGGAGTTTTTGGTGGTCAAAAAATAGTTCGGGGTAAATTTGTCATAGGTGTACCAATTTGGAGTTTTTTGTATACCAGTTTGGGGTTTTTCGTGGTGTTAACCTTTTTTTAAAAGGGTAAAAGGAAGGAACTTTGATTCTTGAAGGAGCTTTCCACGTCATGGTACGATGAACTGCGCAGGGCCTCGCGTAATATCTGACCCGAGACGGTGGGTGACAAGAAGCAGACAGCGAATCATGTCCGTTCACGCGCACCGACATCAATGCGTGTCTCGAAAAACAGAGGATGACAGAGAAAGAGACACAGATGAGCGTGGGACAAATGAGTTTGTGTTTTTCCCTGAAGACTATATATTACATGAAGGGTTAATATCACGAAAAATCTTAAAGTGATACATCTTTGACAATTTTATCCAAAATCAATTGTTTGATCACAAAAAACCCCAAACTAGTATAACTGTGACAAATTTATCCTCCGTTAGTTTTTACCGTTAAATTGCTGAATTAGATTACAAGTAGCAGTTGACGGGTATACCAGTTTGGGGTTTTACTTTCCGTTTGTCACCGGTGTACCAATTTGTGATTTTTCGTGGTATTAATCCAATTTAACGGAAACTAGCAGAGGGCAAAATTTGTCACAAATGTATCAGTTTGAGGTTTTTGGTGGTCAAAAAATTAGTTTGGGGTAAATTTGTCACATGAATATCAGTTTGGGGTTCTTCGTGGTATTAACTCAAAAATATATCGAAGGATTTAATAGGATTTTCGATGAAATGAAATCATTTTCGCTACTCAATTATTTACTGATGGGAAAATGACACAAATAGTTCCTGAACTTTGACCCAATGTGCAATTTGGTCCATGAACTTTTAATTTGTTCAATGTAGTCCCTGAACTTTAACCTAATGTCCAATTTGGTCCCTGAACTTTTGATTTTTTCAATGTGGTCCCTGAACTTTTAATATGTGTTCAATTTAGTCCTTGAACTATTTGAAAATGTTCAATATAGTCCTTCCATTAATTCAAGTGCAGGGACTATATTGAACATTTTCATATAGTTCAGGGATTAAATTAAATACATATTAAAAGTTTAGGGACCACATTGAATAAATTAAAAATGCAGGGACCAAATTGAATATTATGTTAAAGTCCAGGGACTATATTGAATAAATTAAAAGTTCAGGGATCAAATTGCATATTAAGTCAAAGTTCAGGAACTATTTGTATCATTATCCTTTTACTAATTAGGTAATTCAGGTCGCTAAAAACGTGAAGTTTGACGGGTCTTGCCTTAAAGTCTTGCTGATTTATCGTCCAATGAAAAGGAATTTAGTCGGTAGAAATTTGAGGCGGTAGGCCCACTGCGAAGGCGGTGGCCTGAACTTGGAGCGAAACCGTGCGATTGACGTTGATCCGCTAAAGAGGGGGCCCACGTCAAGCGGTGGAAGGAGGACTCATATGATCGCATGAGTCACGCAGGATTAAGCTGTCGCCTATTAGTCCTTCATAAAATTGATTTTGAGTTCAAGCATTCGAGATAGATTTATCCTAAACTTTTTGCAGTTGGCGTGCGTTTAAGGCACTTTGAATAGGAGTTATAACAAGCTGTACGCGATTTGGATGGGTTGTGATGCGACGGATCGCTGCCCCGACGGGCCACAGAAGCTCCCCTTGCGTTCAAATGTATTTCATGCATACCCCCGTGTTGGGTTGCCAGAGCTGCTGCTCGCTTCGATTCCATGCTCGGGTCTCGAGTTCGAATACTTTGGTGAGCATTTTGCGGGCTTACTTGAGGATAGGGATGGGACCCTCTCGCATCATCACGATAAGAGTTGTTGCCCCGACGCATCAATCCATAGTATAGATAAAAAAGAAAAAACGCAAATGCAAAAACTGCGTGCGCTAGAACATCACTTCAATTATGTCCGCGCTTAACCCCACTTCTTCAAGGTCCTTGGCCACGAGCTCGACCAGGATTTAGGACTTGATGGCTCAATTTGAGGCCTCTTGTTTCCGATCGACACCCACGTGAGTGGCCTGTGCGCATACATTTTGAGAAGAAAACGGTCATGTGAGTCACATAAATCGCCGTCCGGTGGGCCATTGAGTTCGTTCCAACGAAAGCGACCACTTCACGGATGGAACGAAAGATGCTGAGCGGTAGAGTTCACGTTAGCATCAATCCATCAATTCAATCTTTGGATCGGCCCGGAAAATAATTGAAGCGATAATGACACGTGGACGACGAGACGAGAACGAGCGAACACGTCGGGCGCTTACTCCTCCGCGAGCAAGTAGATGCGTCGGATCGATCATAAAACGCTAGGTAAAAGGGCAATTTGATGTCAACATTAGAATCATTTCGGACACTTGTTCGTAGCGACCTTTATAGTTCCACAAAAATAACGACAACTAAGGTCGAATTATTATTTCATGAAGCTCATTGCGAATGGTCCCTCTATGCCTAATGAAATAATGTGATCTATTATTGGGACTTTACCTTCTCATGGTAACACGTAAATCTGTGGATCCTTTCGTTTTATTCGGTCAACTCAATACAGTATGTTCCATCGGGTTTGGGGAAGAGGGGATGGATATCCGAGTGTTCGATTGTATCCGGGTCGAATCGGACTAATTGCTTGTGGCTCTTGAAAATGTTCGAAAGATTGCCCATTGACATCTTTTAATTTAAGAGAGTGTCTGAGAAAAATTGGTTTGGAAATTCTGGAAAACCAAGGAGTAAAAGCTGCAATCAATGGTGTCTTATTTCACTGCTTAGGTTGCCACACTAGTGTCTTTCGTTACTAAACTTCGATTCTCTAAGACTGTCAAATTATTCAAAGAAATAGTTGTTCATTCCTAATGGTACTTCTTTTGTGGACAGTGAACAAAGTGAACCTTAGATGGAAGTAAAGTTTTCTGGCCACGGACAAGACCGTATCATGCCTGATGAGCTGGAATACAAGACTAGCGTTTGCTCGAAAGATCTTTCCAAAGGATGAAACAGTGAATCGCATCCTCTTAATGGATTGTACAACAACTGATTTAGCTCGGATATTTAGTCCCTTGAGCGAAACATATGATTCACTCCAACAACTAGTTTTGGCTTGCCCTAACATGTTCCATTATTAAGCTGATGTTAATAGGACTGCCTATATCCCTTGGTCAAGTATTTTGCTCATGCAGAACAACACCAATATCTACAACAAATTATTTCCTTAGTTTGTGTATGAAGGTTTGATCAGTTACTGTCATTTCACAAAGAGCAACAACTCTTCGATGCATGCTCTTCTTCCAAATTTTTGTATGTCACATAGTATAAACATCCTAATGAAACTTGCACAAATCAGTTGCACCAATCATTCTGCGTCGATCACACTTCATCTCGATGCTACAAAGCCCACTTTTCAGTCCACATGGGTAGGGGAGAGATCAGAACACAACAACAGACTGATGCTCGTCTTTAGACATGCATTCATCACGTCAAATACCTTCTATCAAGAACCATATAGAGGGAGAATTATTAATCGAGCATAGTGGCTCTGTCAATGGTTAACAAAATATTTCTACAAATGCCATTGGATGCGGATTTTGCCAAAGGTGAAGATTCAAATTTAGGCTTTTGAAAGAGATCAGGTGGCGACCTTTGTTAAGAAAATAGTGTCTTTTCTTCTATTTCTTGATGATCAAAGATGTGTCATTTCAAGTGGGTGGAATACCATGCATGCATCTTCAATAGATGAGTTGATCGAGTGTAAATGCACACAATGGAGCTGCATAAAATGAAGATTCAACTGCTCTTTGTGGCACTGTTTTTCTTTTCAATGAAATTGATGCATAGCTCATCATTAGTGGTCGATGCAAAAATTTATTTACGCTACTAAACTCATTCATTTTAATAACATTTATAGCTTTCAGTTTCGTCTATCAAACTATGTTTCAGAGAGTTTGCTATTTGTCCTCGACTCAGTTAAGCTCTCGAGCCCAATATGAAAGTGGGCTTTAGATAGATTCTTGGGCTCTCTCTCTCTCTCTCACTCTTCCCACATAGCATTACCCAGAATTGTATATTGCCTTTTTTCCAATTAGAGAATATGCGCTGCATTTTGGTCTCACTATTATATAATGGATTCCTCCTAAGTAAAAGATTAAACTGCCTCGTCCGAGGTCTTGTATATGGACCTCGGTATCCCTTGGACGTTAAACAAACAAAGGGTATTTCCTCCTCCCAGAGAAGAGAAAGATATATGGAGGATTAAGGATGCGAAACGTATGAGCACCAGCACATTAAAATAATAAACATATTTGTGGAGTCTGCCGTCCCTAAGTATCAAACGGATAGGCCGCAGAGGCCCTCGTAGAGAGCCCCTTCTGTGGTGAGATAACACCTTAACCAACACCAAGGATCTACAAGAGCCTCTAGCTATTGGTTTTTTTTTTTTTCCAATTAGAGACTATGTGCTACATCTTGTCTCACTATCATATAATGGATTGAAGTTTGAAGTTAGAGCAAGAACATCATGATCTATAGTACCAAGTAAATTCTTCGTCTCCACACATAGAGTTACTCCTTATTCTAATTTGATCTTCGTGTATGAGCCAGAAGATATAACTTGATTCACCGAACCTGTCCATCAGAATAGGGGACCATGTCGAATGGGCGCGCGTGATAAATTCCTTGGACGAACGTGCACGCTACTCTGAGATCATCTAGGGTTTCGCCAATGACATTGGACGACGACCAAGTCCCTTGATGTTACAAACCCCACTAGTAAAGTGGACCTCCATGTGATTTGTGTACACTTCAATGTTTGGTTGGAAAGTTGAAGGCAAGAAGAAGGTGCTTACTTTATTGTGGACCTCCATGAAAATGTCACCCTCAAAGGTTCTCGTCCTTGTGATATTTCTTAGATGGACCCAATGCCTCCAATTATTATCTATGAGTACTGCAAAAATGTTTCAAGTCTATATCATTCAACTAAAAGAACATGTCCTTTGGCCCAAAAAGACATAACACAAGGAAAAGAAGCTGTCCTGTGGAACCAAAAGTAAAGAAAGTTGCAGTGGGTGTTGATCAAGGTTTTATTCAGATTTAGTTTGCTCGACCAAAACCCAATCCATAGGCCCAAGGAAAACAGTCAATCTTAGCCATGGCTTTTAATTGATCTCCTTGGACCTATCAGTGACGATGGTGCTTATTAGGCCAGCCTTGGTTCAAGCCATGGTGATAGTCAAAATCCGAAGTCCTTAGGACAGATCCAAACCATTCAATCAAAGATCAAATTCAACCTTCTGTGCGTGTGGTTCGGTTCGGTTTAGTTCGACAGAACTTTCTCAAATCACCCAAAAAAAAAAGACTTCACAAATTAGAGAAATTACGTTTTCTACTCATCTAATGCTCTAGAATCAATCTTCACGTCATCCATGTTAAAACCTGGTGTCTTTGTCATTAATGTCGGGCTCGTGTCTTTAGTCTTTGCAAAAATGGAGATGGCTTTGGTCTTTCTTGCTTGCAAACCTAAGCAGATATTCTTTTACAGTGACGCCCACTAGCATGAAGAGAGCCACTGTGCAAACCAATGGTGCCTTCACACCGACTACCACTTTGTTTTTGACAGTCAATTCTCAGTCCACTTTTGCAAAGGACCTTATCAAAAGGGTCATGATTATTGTATTCGATAGAAGGCAACTAAGACCTAAAGTTCAATATCCAGCTTCATCATGCAATAATCACCTTTCTTTCTTTGGAATATCTTCTTCTCAAAAAGTCCATTCAGCACATTCAGCGGTGGCGTCTTCACATGGCGAAGACCAATTCCTACCGAAACATGACACTAAATAGGCGGGAGAACCAGCGAGTGTACATAGATGTAGAGACATAAGTTTGGGAAGTAAGAGCAATGATCTAGGGTTAGTGCCAATTAATAAGGGGGATGCGTGAAAGTTAGATACTCCATATTCAGGGTTCCAGGAAAAAAATGTGCAGGAAAGGTTATCGTATCATCGATGGCGAAAAAATTCATTGGCTTATCAAATTATTTATCAAGCCAGGCATAAGATTTCGCCCTTGAAAAGAGGATTTCCCCGAGGCCTTTGATATCCCCTCCGGTCATGAATTGGGCCTTTCATCCAAACTCTGATTTTTATTTTTTTTAGGGAAAGAATTCTAACAATGTAGGGACGATGATTATAGCATGCTATCATATAATTATCGACGCCACGAAACGAGTCAATCATAAGCAAACAAAATATGTGGTACGATATGACGCTCTTTCTCTGTGTGAGTTGTTCCATGATCTGTAAAATGTAACACTATCAAAGTAATAAAGTTTATGCAGATGCAGCTCCTGACAAACAAAAAGAAAAGAAATGGCAGTTGCCACGTCTAGGGTTTCTTTATAGTCAAAAGTGAGAAAAAGAGCAGGATCACTTAGCAAAGAGCGTCTATTCCAATCGAGATTCCAAGATACCGGCACTTTTTTCGCATGCCATCACCTTCAAACAAATGGCCATCGCTTTCACTTCGCAATCATAATGCCTGCCAACTTTGATTCTTGCGTAACTTCCGAAAGGGTTGCTCGAGTAATTAAGCACTTGACTTGGATGTAACATATTTCACTTATTTGATCACGGACGAGAACTGCTAATTTAAAGATCAATGCTACTATTGTACATAAGGTGGAGTCTTATATGATATATATGGACTGACGATGTAAGTTACATTCATTCACATAGATTAGTTAAGTCAAAGATTTAGATACCCCATATCATATAATAAAGAAATTTGAGTTATTCGAACTCTGTTAAAGTAACACTAGCATTTAGTAGGTTTTATGATGGATTTTTAACGAGGATATTAAGATGAAGATTTTTGCTAAGTACTTAAGAATATTTGGAAGATCAAATCATGAGATTGGATCATGACAACTATATTTTTGGTAAGACCAAGACTTCTCTAAACCAAAATCTAAAAATCTCATATATTTTTGTTGAATATCAAAATATGTATATAAAAGTTCAAGTCTAATCTATATATGTATGAAATCAAATCGATAGATCACTAGGATCACACCAAACATGTGATTTCATTAACAAATAGAATGACAATGCTCTAGAGATCATCATTTCAAATTAAGATCCTACTTAAAATCCGAACTCTCTTATGTTTGGATCATGAATCGTAAAACTTTCAATCCTTATTGACATATTAGCCACAATAATAAATGGACTCATATGCATCGAGTGCATTCTATAACTTAGCAGCACGGTTAACTTTTTTTCCTTCGCGAAATGACCTAAATCTAGATCAAATTTACCTCATATTTTCCACACCAAATTCTTACAAGCATTCTAAACAAAAGCCGATGGTGTGTTCTACTAAATGAAAATAAATGAACACAAATTAATATAAAACAGACCAAATAAATATAGTCACATCTCATAAATTTTTCGTAAACTCTAAACTTAAATACATCCTCATAACATATACCAATTTAAATTCATTTTCTTTATAACTTAAATTACAAATCTTACTTTCTCTTCCACAATTTATCGATTTATTTTTTCTATGTTTTGCACATACGTATATGTAAAAAAATAATTTATTTCACATATAGGGTTAATATACATGATGATATTCTACTATAAGCATGATATGATCAATTTCATTCGTAGATGGGTGTGTTGTGGTTTAAAGACTTTTCATGTTATGTTTTCACCGAGGGTATTTTTCGTAAAAATGCAACTTTAGTACAAGTGAGGCCACATCATATCAAATCAACGTGCCACACTACAAAAGCACATGTATGCACGTAAAAGAGAAAGCCTAAATCTCTCTAATTCACCAAAAATCACTCAAACGAAGGCCTCATCTCAATCCATGGACGTTGGAGCGTCACTCGAAGGAGGTTTCATGGTGAACATATCCAGGAAAAGTATCGTGAAATCCATCACCCCATTGGAAGATCCTCCTCAAGTTCTCGCTCTCTCCAACCTCGACCTTCTCTCTGGGCGGTTTCCGGTGACCTACTTCTACTTTTACCGGAAACCGGCAAGTGATGAAGATAACGTCACCTCCATTGTGGAAGCCCTCAAGAGCTCTTTAGCAGTTACTCTAACTTACTTCTACCCGTTCGCTGGTCGGATAGTCCTGAACCCGAGCACCGGCGAACTGGAAATCGTGTGTGACAATACGGGAGTATTGGTTCTTGAAGCTGATGCGAGTAGAGAGTTAAAGAAGTTGGATTTCCACGATTTCAATCAGTTCATGCAAGGGAAGCTCGTTCACATTCAACCCGACTTCCCGGTTCAAATCCAGGTAGTTTCTTTAATGTGTTTAGAGCAACCGTTTGCTTTAACTTTCACTTCTTTGAATATTTGAAATCTTGACTCTACTTCAAAATAGTAAATTGAGACTTCTAATGGTAAACAAGTCTCTCTCTCTCTCTCTCTCTCTCTCTCTCTCTCTCTCTCTCTCTCTCTCTCTCTCTCTCTCTCTCTCTCTCTCTCTCTCTCTCTCTCTCTCTCTCTCTCTCTCTCTCTCTCTCTCTCTCTCACGGATGTGCATATTGAGTTTGGGTAACTGTATGCCTAGGATAGCAGCTCCATAAGTTACTTTTACGGACCGCTTCTAGTTCTTGTGATCATAAGTAGTTCATCTAAAATGGGCAGGCAAAATTATTTATATAAGTTTAACATACGTATTGAATCCATTTGAATTGTCGAATTTGATGAATACCATGCTAATAAGGAATTCACCATATCTATTTGTCTAGATGTATTTAGGTGTGTGCAACCGCTAAGTGTCTCTCAAAATAGAGGAAGGCACTAAACCAAAGGAACCTCCATAGTCTTGTTTTAACCTTTGGAGTCAAACCTTGCAAGCATCTCGTTAGAAGGTCAAATTTACTTTTTCAATTGTCAACATTTAGCACGTGAATGCACTCAAGATTTCAAATAGGAGGTCCATTTTAAGGATTCCTTTCGATGGAACAATCTATGATTACTTAAATGTCCATTTCAATTTTCTATATTATTCTATTCTAGCCTAAGTCCACCAAAAATGATTTTTTTTCCATGAACTCATGGGCTATATTTTCCTCCATCCTTAATTGATGGGAACTTCCTCCAATCGTGTCTTTAATTTGTGTGCAAATGACGGGCATCATCCCAAATGTCTAATTAACTCGACAACTTTGAATCAAGAACATCATCTCCTTCTATTCTCTTATCTCTTTCAATTCTTTTGGGCTGATTCGGGTTTGAAAAAATGGCAGCTAACGAGGTACAGCTGCGGAAGCATTTCGTTGACGTTCAGCTTCGATCATGCCCTCGGCGACGCGAGCGCATTCCACAAATTTCTTCTCTCGTGGTCTGAAATTTCGAGGGACATACCGATTTCATGTAGACCGAATCATAGTCGCAACCTTCGCGCACGTACTCCTCCAACGTACCACTCTTCACTAGACCAAGCTTTCACAAAGTGCACCTTGGAAGACATACTAAACATTCCAACGCCCAAAACTTTGCTCAAGCGGCTTTATCATGTGGAGTATGAGAGCATTAGTAACTTGCAGGAGCTTGCTTCGTTGGACGGTCGGAGCCGGACGAAGATCGAGGCCTTCTCGGCTTATCTATGGAAATTGATGGTCCGTGCAATCGATGTCAAGCTTCATGCGCAGTGCAAGATGGGATGGTTGGTCGACGGAAGAGGAAGGATGGGCAACGGAGAGTCCGACCCGTCGCCGGATTACATAGGAAATGTGTTGTCCTTGGCTGTCGGAGAGGCAAGTATTGAAGACTTGAAGAATGGGACTATAGCAGATGTTTCAAGCAAGGTTCATGAGGCAATTTCTAAGGTCACAACTCGAAGCCATTTTCAGGATTTGATTGATTGGATCGAATGCCATAGGCCCGGGCTGATGCTATCTAGGGCCGTGCTTGGTCAAGGAGGGCCGACGCTTGTGGTCTCTTCCGGCCGGAGATTCCCGGTAGCGGAACTGGATTTCGGATTCGGTAGGCCGGTGCTAGGGACGGTGTGTTCCACCATAGAAAAGATCGGAGTTGGTTATGTGAATCAGAGGTCGAGCGCTAGAGGCGACGGTTCTTGGGCTGTGTCGGCTATCCTATGGCCGGAGCTAGCGGCCGCTTTCGAATCGGATCCCATTCTTCAACCCATGTCTACAAGATATCTTCAACTGTAGCGTTCGTGTACATCATGATTTGCGTTAGCTCGATCTATCGTAACTACTATTGGTTAGGAAGTGCCTCTACGACGCAGTGTGTGTAACTACTATAAAATCCATATGTAGATTGTATGTTGTGCCAAATAGACGTCACGTAAGCAACTCAAATTAGAACTGCTGCCTTTTCTTTGTCCTAAAATGATATGAAATTGTGGAAGTATATGAAAAATGGAGAAAATTTTGAATTTAGTCTTCTGTTATAAGATTGGAATAGTTTATCTCAATTGACATTAATTGTATATGATCTCCTCGAAGAAGGGGAAGAAATTCTGAAAATTTGAATCGTGCATTGTATATGAAAACATGCCATGAGAGCTATGGATACTTACAAAATGTATCGTTCTTTATACATAAAAACAATCTCTCGTACGCCAAAGCCATCTTCCTCGCCGTGAACATTGAAGTCGCGTACTCTCTACAAGCCCTACCTCTCTCGGCCAACCTCCTCGGGCCTTCCGCAATCACCGTCTCCATCGCCTCCACGAGCGACTCCACGTTCGGCGAGAACAAAAACCCTAGCTCGTCGTCCACGACGATCGTCCCTTTGATGCTCGGAAACCTCGACGCCATCACCGGCTTCCCGCTCATCATCGCCTCCATCAGCGTCAGGTCCAGCCCTTGCGGCCTTAGCGTCGGGTTCAAGAACACGTCGATCGAATTGTAGAAATGGCCCAGCTGAGACGGGCTCATCGAGCCCAGGACCAAAGCCCTAGGGCCCAATTCCTTGTAGCGACTGGCCCATGGGCCGGATCCCGCGATGACCAAGTACACGTTCGGGTGCTTTGCGGTGATTATGGAGAATGCTCGATGGAGGAGGGGGTGGCCTTTGTCCTTGACAAGCCTGCCGGCGACGCCGAGCACAACGGTGGCGTTCCCGTGGACGCCCATTTGGGACCGGAATTCACGGCCCGAGTCAAGATTCTGCTTGAAGTCGGCCTCGTCGACACCGTTGAGGATGACGTGGACTCTCTTGGTCGGGATTTGGTACACGTCGCGCAACATCTCGCCGCAGCTATCGCTGATCGCCACGTGGTGGGCATATTTGTGGAAGAACCTGATTTCATTAAGTACCTGATTGAAAACCACATTTATGTAAGGAGGATCTCCTGCCCATGTTGAGAACAAGGAAAACTTTTTCACTAGGATATGATTAATCAGTCGAATTGATTAGGCAATTAGCAATTCCACCAATCGATGATCGATTGGCTGTTTAAAGAAATCGAATCCATGCCTATGGTTTGCTCAAATGTCCAATAAACAATTCATCGTTGTCAGTAATTCAGCATATCTACATTGGAATCATTCGATTGAACATTCTTTGTAAAAAAGAGAGAGAAGAGGATTGCTTAATCGAAAAGTTTTCAAATTAGATTGCATTGTTCTCGCAAATTATGGATTCTAGATTAAAAAAAGGAGAAAAGAGAGACTAACAAATGATGTAACGTACCTTCGGAATCACGCCTTGCATGTTCTTGTTGATGTCCGGCGAGATGGGTTCGCCATCCGGCCTCAGTGCGAGGTCCTGGTAAATGTCCGACTGGAGGCTCTCGAGCGCGATCCCATGCCACGACACGGCGAGGTTCGGCACATCTCGGGCCAGCCAGTGGGGGAGCGCCACGCTCTCCGAGTGCACCACGTCGAACGCCTCCTGCCGGTTCTCCTCCACAAACATCTCCCACGCCTTGTTGTACCTCCACCTCCCCGGCTCGCCCTCGTGGAAATGCAACCGTGGCGGTGGAGTCGGCGAATCCCCCACGTCGTCCTTGATGCCCGTGGCGCCCTCGACAGGGGACGTGAACACGTGGACTCGGTGGCCACGAGCCGCGAGGGCGGTGTGGAGGGTGTAGGCATGACGCTCCATGCCACCAGGGGTTGTGCCAATCGGCCACTTCCGGGAGAACACGGCTATGCGGAGCGGCGGCGGGCGTCGAGCATCCCTCGGGTCGTCAAAGGGGAGCCGGTTCCACGCGAAGCGGGCGTCCCGGAGATCACCGGAGAAGGGCTTTGGGGCATTGGCGGCAGCGTTGGAGAAGAGGGCGGCGCGGGCAGCGCAGGCGGAGGAGGCGGTGGTGGTGGCGCGGAGGAGGAAGAGGGCGGGGATGGTGAAGAGGACGATGAAGAAGAGGGTGGTGCATAGGTTGGATTGGGATGGGGTCACCATTTTCTTGTGCTTGGTGGCGGTGGTGGAGGTGAAGGCCATGTTGGGATGGATGCCAAATGAACAAAAGGAGGTGAAGAAAGAGATTGGTGCTGCGGCGTTCGAGTGTGAATGCGATGGCTTGTTTTGGAGGGATTTGGGGAGGTAGGCACGCACTCGAGCAAGCGTTCTTGGACTGGTGCGTTTCTCACGCCTTTGGTTGAAAAAGAGGGAATGAGGAACCTTCATTTGGATGCTTGTGACTTTCCTCACACTTATTTGACCTTTTTGAATCTCCATCTTTTGAAAGCAACAACATAAGCGAAAGTCACGACAAAGATGAGTTTTAATTGTACCTTGCTCCCCATAAAAGTTAGTCCGGGACCGTCTCATTTCGCTCCCCATTTCTCATACCGACATGAAATGGTATTTGTTAGCGTCTAGCATCAAAAGATACTATCGAAATCCTCGACATGACCCTTTTATTATAATTTCATGAATCACTCAAATAGTTGATCTTCTGACCTCGAATTTGGAATTCAATGAGGATTTCACAAACAAAGATGGATTGATTGGGGTGATTAGGGGGAAATTACACGTTGACTTTGGAAGTCAATAATAGTGGGTGACATGATGACATCAATGATATTTTCCGGACTCTTTACCATTGGAAGCAATCGATTTAGGGTAAAATTGATCATAAATCTCAAGCTTCAACTCCTAATCCTATGCAAGTTCCTTCTCCATGAGGTTCAAGAAAGTGGGTCTTTGATTCCAATGGACTGTGATACGTCCACTCGGCCAAAGTTAGGCAAATCGAACATTGGATTTGAAACAGGACGGATAAAAAAGTCAACCCCAAGTTGCGTTGTTTTGGAGTGGAAGGCAGTCTGCATGTTAGGACTAGGCCAAATTCAAAGCCGCCTCAGTGTCACGAGGCAGGTTTTTGGGTTTTTTGCGATTGAAGAAATTGATTTTCATGTGCACAATTATAGAATAAATGAATGGAAGTCAGCAAAACCAAGCTCGCTCAGCCAGCCATGCAAATTGGGAATTGGAAGTGGTCCACTTTGCTTGGTGGGAAAGCATTTTTGCTCTCTACTTTGCTTGCTCTTGAGCATGTTAATCCAGCTGCTAACACTTGGTATAGCTCACATGTAGGGGCTTCTTCACCAAGCAATGGAGATTGTGGAATTGAGGTTGCCTTGCTTGGGTTGTGATCCATCTCTTCAAGTTAAGCAACGAAAAGAGACTCAAAGTTTGGGGTGAGCTAGTTCTACGAAAGCCCTTTGAATCTGATAATGTTCATCACTGGCCCTTCCATTTGAGCGTACAAATTGCTTGCACCGTTACAATAGTTTGATTATTTGCTAATCAACTACTAGTATGGGGCACCACCCGCCAAGGATGACGGCCGGGGCTATTTGGAGCGCGTACTCTTCCTCTCGCAGTTGGTTTGAGTGTTCGAATCCCGGTGCCGCGGTGGTGACTTAACCGGTACACGTGTGTGGTGGCTAGCACGTGTCGCCCAGGTTTACCTCCCGTGATGTCGGCCGTGCGCGGGGTTCCCTGGATCATCAAAAAAAAAAAAAACTAGTATGGGGCAAGTGGTACTTTTCAAGGATGATCGATAAATTTCAAGACAGGATGCTAACCCTAACTAATACAGGACAAAACAAAATAACTTAATTGCTAAAAATCTTGGAAAAATTTAAAAGTTATTAGAACTCCAAATCGCTAGAAAATTCATCAATCACTACTAAAGTAGTGAGTATTGATCAGGTTTCCAAGCTCCAAAAAATAGACTCGGATATAGAACATATTTTAGGATAACTAAGACAGTACATAATAAGCGACGTACTACTTACTAGCCTACTAATAATATTTAAGACTTGATATTCCACTGCAACACTTCGTTGGTCGGCCCTAGCCTATCCACATGCCCCTCTTGATGGCAATTGTGCTCTTTGTGCCGCCACTTATGTCCCATCTTATTATTTGGATTATACATAAAAGTTTGCAGAAATTGTTTGCACATTGCATGATGGATAAATTCGATTTCTTCATTTTTTTTAAATTTTTCTTCAGAAAAATAATATTTTAAGTTTAACCTAAAAGGATGGGCACGACTAGGTGGCCACTTTTAGTCACGAATTTCAATTCACTTGGATGCAATTCTCCATATTTTTTTTTAAATAGCGTATGAAATCAAATTCTAGATTGGTTCAACCCCAAGGCAGATTCCAAAGTAGACCGGTGATTCATACATAAGAATTGGGAACTGAACTAGCTAAGGATTGGTTCCCATCTTTCATAACCAATAACCAAACCAACTCTCCCTTGAATCAGCTAGATTGGTCTAGTTCCAATCGATTCCCGAGCTGAACTAGACCTAGCGCACATCCCTACTTTCTCATTATTTTTTAAGCCTTCTTAGGTAATCAAACCACCATGAAAAATACCTTCGTATGAACTATATCACACGTGAACTAAACCCAAGTGGATGGTTCGGATATGGGATTATTAGCACTTGATGATGTGAAATCGGTCTTATGTCGAACAATTGATCCAGACATATATTTCACTAATCCTTTTTTTTTAAATGATGAAAAAGCCCTTACGTACCAACCTCAAGTAAATAAACCTCAAATCCATGAAAATTTCACTAAGCAAAAAATGAGCCAAAAGTGCACTTAGCTTTGTGGGGATCAAACCAACAAGAAATAGAGGTATACCCAATAGTCCAATATAAATGCCATATGTGCCATCACCATTCCCTAAGTACATTCTTATTATATTTTAGCAGATTCTAATGATCATCACTCTCTTCATTTTTTCCTCTTTTTTTCCCCATAGATTATCCTTATGTATGATACATATACATATATACACTGTCGACTAAACCATCATATATCATTTTACAAAGGATTATAAGAACTCCTGAAAGGAGAACATTCACACATTCTACTTTACACTTAGACAAAAGAAACCTCCCCACCTTCCCATCTTTTGTTTCCCTCATGTTTTCCTAACAGGAGCGACCGGATAAGAC